TTCTTATTTTATAATTTCTTATTTCCTAATATTCTTAATTTTCTTAATATTTTCTCCTAATATTGTGTAAATTTTTAAGAATTTAAATATTTATGTTTTATACGTTTTATAGAAATATTTGCCTTATTTCATAAATTCTTACACTTCTTGGAATTTTAAGTTAATGTTTTATTTTATTATATTTTTCTAATATGATTTCTAATATGATGTTTTAAGAATTTAAATTTTCGCGGTTTACAAAATCGATTAAAACGTAACTTCATGAATAATTAATTAGCTACTATCAATAAAAGGTCAATAAAAAGGTCATCAGCTTCTTTACCGACCGATCAGAAAAATATTGAAACAATTAAAAATTTAGAATCGCCAAAAATTTAAATAAATAAATCTCAAAAATTTAATAAATATTAGGAAAACTGTTATAATATACTTAATAATTACTGAATATAAATAATTTACAATATTTTTAAAATTACAAAAATTATTATATTATTCATAAATAATAATATATGTGTGTCCAAATACAGTCATAATATATGAATATTTAGATGTGACGCTATGTGTATCTAATTATAGTATAACTTCACATATGAAATGAAGCATCCAACATTCAAGTTCAACATATACGAAGTATCAATGCCATAGGAAGGTGGCGTTTCTGCTATTTTCGTAAATTGCGAATCAGCTGATAACGTATGACACGAATATCCAAAGGACGATCACGAATATACATATGACTCTAAGTGATTCTGACCATTCCAACTTCTTCTGTGTCATGAGCGGTACAACTGACAGGACGCGTGTCCTTCAACAAACAGTTTTTTAATTATTTCGTTTTCCTTATATGTTGAGTGATTAATTATACAAAAAGATACGTGCAATCGATATAACACGATTAATACAGACGTGATATTCAACAAATTTAATAAAAATGACCAGCCAAAAAACGGTACCAAACGGTGTAAAGTTTCTTATTGGTGGAACATCTGGGTTTGTGTGCTTTTTTAATGTTTATTTTGGACATGTGACATCTAGGAATAAATGCGACAATCTTAGAAAACATGTTTACATTGTTTGATAATTATGAGAGAATTTCGTAATCATTGAGCCAGAGTTCAAAGATCAAGATTACGTTTTATCAAAATTACCTTTTACGAATTACATAACTGACATTGTTAGTAATTGAAAATAGAAGAAAAAAGTTGAATTTGAATTTTTCATGATGATGCAATTTATTTGTATATTAATATATATATCTTATTTGCATACTATAAATAGAGGTGTAACCCTGGATAAATTAATATAGCTTCTCTTATAACCAATAGCGCCAAAATCTTAATTTAAAATCTTAATTTTTAATTTAGAAAATTGGATAAATATAATATAATCTTTATTATATTAAACTTTATATATTATTTCAATTTTATAAATTAACTAATGTTATTTAATTTTTAGAAAATCAAAATAAATTAATTGTGGTTTAATCTTCTTTAAATTTATACAATAATAAAATTTTATCAAAATATATTCTGATTATTAACTTTTATTAAATATTAACTTTTATGTATTATAAAATTTAATTGCTTAGACCAAAATTGTAATTTCATCACAGTTGCATGCAATACACTAAGACAATACAGTCTGTGATAATTACACAAAAACATTCATTAATTAGTTTGTTTGAGTGTCAAAGCAGATTTATTGTAATTATGAGAAAAATTTATTGTATTCGGATTGAAAAAGTAGAATAAAGAAAAAGAAAAGAAAGAGATAGAATTATCTGATAAATTATCTGTTAAAAATTACCCAATAAATTTGGAATTTACATTTTTATTTAAGAGATAGTGATTTAAGAGATGAAGGACATATATATATTTAATTACAGTATGGCAGCAACATGTTTTGTACAACCATTGGATTTAATAAAAAATCGCATGCAATTAAGTGGCACAAAAACATCGACGTTAAGTGTTACATCATCAATTCTGAAAAATGAAGGCGTTTTAGCATTATATTCAGGCTTATCTGCCGGTTTAATGCGACAGGCTACATATACCACTACTAGACTTGGTATATATACTTGGCTTATGGAAGTTTCTTCGTAAGTTAACTTTGTATGTAAGATTTTACAATTATATAAGAATTATATAAGAATTATATAAGAAGTAAATTTGTATCAAGTATGTTTGACTTATTTAGAAAAGAAACACAACCAAATTTCATTGTAAAAGCAGTACTTGGTATGGCGGCTGGATGTGTCGGAGCATTTGTAGGTACACCCGCTGAAGTAGCTTTAATTAGGATGACAGCAGATGGAAGATTACCTATTGGTAAATTTTTTATTTTTTCCATACAATAAGATTATTACTTTGTATATATTACTAGTTTACTACACATATCCACGTACATATTATAGAATTTAAAAATTTAAAATATTTTAAATGCAGCTGATAGACGCAATTACAAAAATGTGTTCGATGCATTATTCCGTATAATTAGAGAAGAAGGTCTCTTTACATTATGGCGTGGCGCCATTCCTACTATGGGAAGAGCTATGGTTGTAAATGCAGCACAGTTGGCATCATACTCTCAAGCAAAACAAGCATTGCTAGATACAGGTTTATAGACATATTGCATCGTTATTTAATTCTTTAAAATTATATAAATGATATTACAATGGTTACATTTGTTTTATTGTTGTATTTTTTTTCTTTTAAAATAGGATATTTTGAGGAAAATATAGTATTACATTTTGCAAGCTCCATGATTTCTGGTTTAGTCACCACTGCCGCCTCTATGCCTGTAGATATAGCTAAAACAAGGTATTACACAATAAGTTCATGATATCGTTTGAAAATTTAATTAACATGTGATTCACATGTTTAATGATCTTTTTTTCAGAATTCAAAACATGAAAACAATAAATGGCAAACCAGAATTTACAGGCGCAATTGATGTCCTGACTAAAGTTATAAGAAACGAAGGATTGTTTGCATTGTGGAAAGGATTCTTTCCATATTACGCACGTCTAGGGCCTCATACAGTCTTAACATTCATTTTCCTTGAACAAATGACTGCTGCTTATAAAACATACTTGGCATAATAATTGCAATTGTATGCGCTTGCAAAAAGTTATCAATGATTTAATTCTTCAAAATCTTATTTCCTTTTTGCTTTACCAATGCTTTTGTATATTTTCGTATATTTTCAAAAGCATTATTTTAATAATAAATTCATTTTTTACACACATATACTGTAGAATATTACGCACACAATTGCAATATCATTTTATATAAATATATATAGAATTCATAATTTATCATGATTAATCATAATTTATCATAATCAAGATTTTTATAACGGCTTTTATGAAATGTGTCGGTTCTAAAATTGTTAATTTCTGAAAAGTATATCCTCGTATTTTAATTGAAGAATACAAACATATATTTCCGTTTCAGAGTAAGTATAGTTTATGCATTTTTTATTTTCTGCCATATGAAATCATATATATGCAATGTATTAAAATATTTTGCTATTATTTTATAGAGAGAGGAAGATATATATTATATTCTGTGAATATGTATGAATACAGAGTTTGTCTGGTACGAACTTAGTCTTGTATAGGCATACCATTTGATTCAGCCATTTAGTTGTTATTTTCAATGTTATTTTATATAAAATTTGTTTTAATAGATGTATATTTTGGATGTTCAAATTATAATGAGAGCCGGTATTGTTACTAGATATAAAAGTTGAATAAATATACTAAAATAGTGTGCATTAAAGTGTATTCAAAGTAATGTGTTTAAATGTATTAAATATATTAATGCAAAAAAAATCGTACAATAACATTGTATCAATAATATTGTACTAAAATAACAAAGATTTAACAATAAAAACTATATTTTGATTGTAAGTTTACTACGTTTTATTTCTAACAAGGAAAGTTCGGCAAGTATAAAATAAAAAAAAATTTGAAACTGCATAAATTTGAAATAGATGGATCTAATCATGAAGAAAATTATTTTAGCTGCTGAAATTCGATTTTAGAGGTGTAACATCCTTTTGAGTAAAATCGATTTTTACGATCGATTTATTTATAAATGAATCTCAGAAACAATTGGAAATGCGAAACAACATTTCCAACAAAAATTTCATAGTTTTGAAAGTACTTTTGTAACGATGTGATTAGATTTTTGAAAAATGTTAAATTTTGAAAAATGTAAAATACTCCTACTAGCTAATTTCTTTTTTTTTAAATTAAAAATTTTATTTTATGCAAGTGTGTTTTCAGTTTATTTCTCAAAAACATGTTTACAGAACACAACTTTATCATATGATTAAATTTAAATAAAATAAATTTAGTTACAAAAAAATTTGAAAATTAGATTCACCTAGGTATTCTAAATTCATGCAAAATTTCACATTTTTTTATTTTACACTTGTTGAACTTCCTTTGTAAGATAAAACAAAGTATTTTATCAACAAAACTTTGAGAATTAAAAATAAGACATAAATAATATAAAAAATAATTTTAAAAAATTACATTTCTACATAGTTATGTTTATTTGGCACGAGAATGATTAGTTTCCGGTAATTATCGCATAATCAAAATTTATACAAACTCAAAATTGTGAAATCTATTCGCCTTATTGTACCTTGAAATTAATTTCTTTATTACATTATAAATTTTTGCAACGAAAATTGTTAACAAAACGACAATACAATAATGCAACAAGTATTATGAAATCGAGCTCAGGGACATTTGATTTATTCGCATATATATATAAAACGAAGCAAATGTGATGATCAAATATTGATTAAAAAAATGTCGGGTATAATTTTAATATCAATATCTCGTCATGCCGCAACGTGACTAGCGTGAGACAGATGACGGAAGTCTTGCATATTACACGCAACATTTTTAGCGGCAAAGCACAATAGACTCGCTTTTATCATGTCACAAATATTTAAAAATGAAATTCACTTCATCGTGTAAATTATTATACAAATTGACAATCAATGCAATATAATTGCGATAAATTAAACATTTGAATCTCGAGATGGAGTTATATTTGTGTAGTTTTCTACCTTTAAGGTTATAAACACTTTGGTGTCAATAATTTTTCTTTTATATTTATAGTTCTTATTTTATATATTTTATATATTTGATACATGTATATATATATATATATTTTTTTATGGCTGTGCCCTCATACGAAGATCAATTCAATCAGGTATTTATTAATAATTAAATGTCTATAGTCTATATCAATTAAATAATTAGAACTATATAAAAATATGAGACTATATTAATTCTCTTGTTACACATATTAATCTCTTACACAGTAAGAGAGGAAACAAACTAATTAAAATTTAAAAAGTTTTATTCTTTTACATAATTAAACAATTTTTTATTAATTCTTTTCATTTTAGTATACATCTATTGTATGATAATTATCAATCAAGAAATTTGTATAAATTAGTATAATTATGTCAAAGAAAAAAAGAGATCATGATTGGGGAGAAAATGGTTTCGAAGATTGGGTGAGTATATTATATATATGTAATATTAAATTATTAATTTTTATTATTGTATTTATCTATTTTTGAATTATCTTTTAATGAGTATTTATAATTTTTTAATATTTGTCAGGGCGGTTATATGGCTGCAAAGAAAGCTAAATTGGAGGAACAGTTTCGCGATACAGCCAGCAAAGAGTTTAAAGAATCATCGAAATTGTTCGAAGGAATTGCGATATTTGTTAATGGTTATACAAATCCAACATCGGATGAGTTGAGACGTCTAATGATGATGCATGGAGGAATATATCATCATTATATGCGTCCTAAAATCACGACTCATATTATAGCATCTAATCTGCCATATTCTAAAATAGTGTTATACAAAAAAAGTCAGAATCCAATTCCTATCTGCAAACCACAATGGATCATTGATAGCATAGCAGCTGGAAAGATTTTGAATTTTCAAAATTATTTACTTTATTCTAATAGTATTAATTTACAGCCTCAGTTGGCATATAAATTAAATAAAGATAATGCTAGTTCAATCATACACAATAAACAGACTATTGAGAAGCTTGAAGCTTCAGCAAACACTGTTTGCAAAGAAACAGATATAAATAATAAAAAAATACCAAAACACGATATGTGTAATGATGCATTGAAACAAGACTCAAACAATTCTTGTCAATCTTCGAATACAAAAATAAATGCGCAGTCTACAAGGGATGCTGAGTTTCTGTCAACGTTTTACAGTAACTCGAGATTGCATTATATTTCTACCATGGGAACTATGTTTAAAGATTATGTGAATGAGTTAAGAGATAAAAGCGACGGAATTTTTTCCGGTCTTGAACATTTAATAAAATTAAAAAGTACCAAGAATGCATCAACTTCAGTTACTTGCGAATCAGAATCCGAAGATGAGACAATTTGTTTTACAGATAAAGTTACAAGTAAAATGAACCATAAGCAAAAACTTGTTATAATGCATATTGACATGGATTGCTTTTTCGTATCGGTGGGAATCAGAAATAAACCGGAATTGCAAAGTGTACCGATAGCGGTAACGCACGCAAAAGGCAACATGTTTTCAGCGAATTACGACGGCAAGGAAGAGTTTGGATCGATGTCAGAAGTAGCTTCGTGCTCGTACGCAGCGAGAAAGGCTGGTGTGAAGAATGGTATGTTTCTGGGAGAGGCATTGAAACTGTGTCCAAACTTGAAGACAATTCAGTACGATTTCGAGGGTTACAAAAAAGTTTCGTATATACTGTATGACACCGTGGCATCCTACACTTTAGATATCGAAGCAGTAAGCTGTGACGAAATGTACGTTGATTGCACAAAAATTCTTGAAGCATCTGGACTTTCACCATTAGAATTCGCTACTATAATTAGGAATGAAATAAAGCAAAAAACAGATTGCCCAGTATCTACGGGATTTGGTAATAACAAGTTACAAGCGAGATTGGCGACACGAAAAGCTAAACCTGATAATCAGTTTTATCTCAACGATAAGAATACAGAAACATATATTCAAACTTTTAATATAAGAGATTTACCAGGTACTTTTGAGCGATCAATCATTCATTTACATTATTTTGTAATGATGAATTATATTTTTAAAGAAATCTAAATCAGTTAATCGAATATATTGGATTTGTATTCTGTACACACACTTGGCTTTAATTTTTTTCATTTCATTATCTTTATTAAAATTAAGATTTAATTCGTTTAATTTTTTTTTTCTTTTTATTCATAGGAGTTGGTGGAACAACGACTTATAAATTACATAAAATGAATGTGCATATATGTGAAGATTTACAGAAGATCTCGTTGGGAGTGTTACAAAAAGAATTTGGTAAAAAGTTGGGAGAGCAGTTATACAAGATGTGCCGTGGATTAGACGACACAAAGCTGAATCTGGAATATGTTAGAAAATCTGTATCGGCGGAAGTTAATTATGGCATAAGATTTCAGAATAATGGCGATGCTATCGATTTTTTGAGTGAATTATCTGTGGAGGTGTGTAATCGATTGACAGCAGCTCGTGCAAAAGGTAGATGTATCACGCTAAAATTGATGATCAGAGCTGAGGAAGCACCCAAGGAAACCGCGAAGTTCATGGGTCATGGTCTTTGCAATTATATAACAAAATCGAAAAATCTTATAGCAGCTGTTGACGATGTTAGTATCATCAAAAAGTAAGTTCTTATTATTGATTTATCCTTGTATATCTTTTATACTTTTTTTAAATATATTTAATAATTTAATATATCTTTAAATATATTTTAAATATATATTTTTGCTAAAGTAAGTATATGTTTTTATGATCTAGGGAAGTTATAAGTATTTGGAATCAGTTGCATTTAATACCCGAAGATATGAGAGGGATTGGAATACAAATATCCAGATTAGAAATATGCAAGACTAAGCAAGTTAAAAGTAATTTAATCAACTTCTTCAATAAAACGAAAAAAATACAGCAGTGTGATAAAATGTTGGGAGATGATTGTGTCTCAATCGAGAAATCTAAACCGGATTGCTCTAAAGTGCCTTCAACAAAATTATCAAGAGCAGCAATAAAAGAAAATTGTGATATAGAAATTAATAATTTGCC